CCGAATCTGATTTTTCTCTTCTAGAGAGCAAATTTTTAAAGACTCCATTCATAGATGCAATGCAGAAAGTTAATAAGCAGGAAGATATTGAGCTTGACATAGGTTCGGTCCACGGTTACCTCAATACTCTTTCTTAAGTCATTGTTTTTCTCTAACGAAACATGTTTCTTTTGGCACCAGATGACATCGACATAGATGAAACTCTACCTGTGACTAGCTCCTCGTCTCATGAAGCCGTTAAATCGAAAGGAGGTAAACCTGACTTTCCAACTTGCGTTTCTTTACTGCTGAACTTCTAAAATGAAATTGCCAAATATTCACTTTACCTTGCAGGAAAGGAAACAGACCGAGAAAAATTACTAGGTGCACAAGATGATTCAACACCCAGAGTTCGAACCGCCCAAGAAATTATTGCGAAATATAGAAAAACTGGGGTAACGAATTTAGACACATTTTGCTTTTACCGATCCGTCTATTTCTCAGTGATAGCTTTCTAAGGAGATTCCATTATTTGATATTGCAGGATGCTTCTTCTGCAGCATCACATGCAAGAGATAAACTGGCAGAGAGGGGGGAAAAGCTGCAGGTAAAAAGGATCTCCCATTAAATCCATAAAATGAACATTTTACTGCAGTTGATATACTAAAAGTTGTCAATACAACGGATTCTGGCCAATCTCCAAGTCTAACCATGCTTCCCTGTGGTTGCTTATGATTATATCAGAGAATCAGCAGGCGCACCGAAGAGCTGCAAAGCGGGGCTGAAAACTTTGCATCGTTAGCAGATGAACTTGTCAAGGCAATGGAAAATCGAAAATGGTGGCAGGTATAAGGTGAAACAAATTTGGAATTTAATCATGTCTTTTGAGATTATTTCTTCAAGCACCATGTTAGTCGATCACTTTCGAGCTTCGACGTGGCCATTACCGTTCCACAGCTAAAACTTCCTACAAAACCATATGTATCTGCCTGGAAATTTCTGGGTTGAAGTTTCAACAGACAATAGGGTTTGAGAGTTGTTTTGTATGTGATGTAAATTAACATCAGTCAACATGTCAACTGCTTAAATATGATTCATTCTGATAGAATAAATCTGGGTTTGAATTTCATAATATTATATTTATTTCCATGCAGTGCATGGAGATTATAGAATGTAAAAGGGTTGATGTTGATCAAATATGAGGTTGTAAAATTCTTACTTTGGAACAATCAAAGCACCCATATTGGTGATAAAGTATTGATTTTTCAATTCCAAGGGATGACCATGCCATGGCTGCCTGTATCTTTGTTGGGTTCAGATTATTTTCCTTCGCATTCAAAGCTTAATGTGGAAAAAATTAATAGAATCCTGAAAAATGTTATTATAATAAATTTAAAAACTTTAATAAAGATAATGAAAATTTTGTTATCATTTTACGCACTATTAGTGAAAAATACCTTAGGTAAATTACACATTTAGTACCTAAACTTTCAATTTTTTCAAAATCATACCTAAAGTTCAGTTTTGTTTCATTTTAGTACCCATGTTCAAAATTTAATGGTAAGTTTTAAAAAATGAAAGTTTAGGTATTAAAATTAATTAAAACTGATAGTTTATTTACTAAACGCGTTAAGTTTTTAATAACATGTACTAAAATGAAACAAAAACTAAACATTAAGTATGGTTTTGAAAAATTAAAAGCTTAGGTACTAAAATATACTAAAACTGATAGCTTAGATACTAAATGCATAGCATAATTTACCCAAATATTTTCACAAATAATGTTTATATATCGTTAAGCACATTTTTAAACTAAGGATATCTATGAACTTTTTATCAAGTCATCCATTCAATTTTTTAAGTTCTAAAGTGATAGTTTATGTACTAAATGCTTATCTAAATATTTTTCACAAATAATATTTAGTTCGATTTAGTTAAATGTTTTTTTCATTTATCTGTCTATAATAATTTAATTTGGTTTGGTTTGCTCGGTTTTTTAAGTTAATTTTTTTATTAACTTTTTATTTATATAAAATAGTTTTATTCCATACTTTTTATACTTTAATAAAGTTTCAATCTTTTTCGTAATTTAAAAAAAATAAAAAAAAATCAAAAGGTCAATAATTTTTATATAATTTTAAAGATACTTATAATATTCTAGATTTAAAATATTTTATCTTTAACAACAACCAGTTGGTCTAGTATGATGAGTCATTAGGTCTCTTAAGCAAGGTCAGGGGTTCAAATCCTGGCATTTAAGAATGGAGCAAACTGGGTTGGGAGGGTCGCCCTCACCTCTGCAGTATCCGATCTCGATTAGTCAGTCAATAAATCGGATATCAGTGATTAATTAAAAAAATAATAAAAATACTTTATCTTTTTCACAATAGGAAGTAATTAATTAATTAATTCCCTGATCCCATTGGGCATGGTCAAGGTCTCTTTAGCTCATTTCCTGCTGACTTGGTCGGTTGGCTTATTTTGTGAGGACTTATCGTTTGAAGGGTTTAAGGAGGAGAAAAAGGTCAAATACAAAATTATTCTCACTTTGAAATAACATTTGCCGTCCATCTTTTGCAAAAAAAAAAAACGTGTATTTTTCGTCCACAGTCAAATATGTATATAATAATTAATACATTAATGTTTGAAATATTAACTAATTTTATTATTTAACAAAATAAGTTATATACTTTTTATTTTATAGATCAAAATATTTTTTATTATATATTTATTAAAAAAGTTATAACTTTTAGAGTGATGTATCCTCAATTTTTATTATTTTAGGAGCGTTAAATACTTTATATTGTAATAATAATTGTGTTTAATAATACTAAGTGTTAATAATAATTGTGATATTAACCTTTTGTATTTATATTCTATATATAAATATATTAATAATTATGTTTAATATATTAAGCGTTTAAATTAGGTTTAATATAAAAGTAAATGTTTCAAACTATACCTAAAATTAAATTTTAGTGTCTAAAGAATTTTTTTTTAAATATAGATGTCTAAAGGTTTCTCCCTCTTACACTTTTAGGTGGGTGTTATTAAAAAAACCTTTTAGCGACATATGTCACGTTTATATTTTTTTTATTGTTTAAAAAATAAAATAGTATTTAAAAACATTTTTTTAAATCTAAACGTGACACATATTATTTAACTTTTTTTCAACGGCATACACCTAAAAGTATAAAGGAGATAACGTTAAACACTTATTTTAAACGAAAAATTAACTGAGTATAATTTAGACACTTATTTTTATATTAAATATTTATATTCTATTGATTAATTAAAAAAGTATACACTTTAATTCAAATAAATGAAATGTGAGTATGAAAATATGTGATCTTAATAAAAAGTTACGAGTTTTTTTAAAAAAAATAGGTCAAGGATGGCTTCTCAAGTTCATGAGCAATGCATATCTAAGACTCAATTGATTTACATAGAAATTATAGATCATCCACAGAATAATGATTATATAGAATACCCAACAAAACAATTTAGATTATTAGTTGAGTAACTAATTAAAATCTTAATAACTTTAACCAATCATTCTTTTTGGATGAACATAGATTAAAGGAACCGTTGTTATTCTCAAATGTCACGAGTTCGAGCATCAGCGACTTCAGTAGGATGATTGAACGTTCATTATTAAATGATTGAGAATATTTAGAACATGTACTACATTATAATCACCAAAGACATTATAATAACCACAAGAAAACTAGTCACTTAAGATCACACAATTATCATATAAAGAAAAAGTTAAAAAAAACATAATCAAATAAACTCGAACAAAAGGATATGAAGCTAGTAAGAGACCACTGACAAACCGTAAATAAGAATCTAACGACATGAAAATACCATCCACAGACGCAAACCGTATATCCAAATCTAATTTGAAAGTCTAAAATAAAAAATATCAATATAATAATAAATAAATGTCATCTTAAAAAAAACGTAACTGCTCGAACTTAAATTTTTTAAGAAAAAATTACTATCTTTTATCACTAAGTTCGCACACAAGATGAATTCAATTTAAGAAAAATTACTGCTTTAAAATAATATTTTATTGGACAACAATCTGTAACACGTGAAAAAGAAATGATGGCGGCAGCACTTTGTGAGTGCATTTTTTGGGACACCGGCCTTAAGAAACTCGTGCTAAAACAAATGAAAGTTATGAAAGGGAGCTCCGTCCATAGCTAGAAGAGGTCCAAGTCCTATGCCTCTAATAAAAACATATTTCAGTAAAAAAAAAAATTCTCTTTTTATCAGAGATTTTTAAAAAAAAATATTTAAATGGATTATAATATAAAGTTTGTTTAGAATTTTTTTAATTATTAATAATACACATATATTCTGTAAACACATACACTCGAATTCAATAACTCTAAAATATTTGTAATGGATGGCAAATGGGCAAGCATATAAGAATTCATCGAATGATAAAAAATAGAGCTTTGTTCCTTAAAAGTTTTTATTTTTTGATAAACATGGGGTGAGTGAGTATAAGTTCAAGACTCACAATCGCTTGATTCTAAATACTTATATTTTTAGAATAAAAGATGTTCGAATCTAAAACCTCAAGAGATAATAATAAATATCTTAAAAATCGAGATCCCTTGATACGTGTTTTTTAGAAATTTTAAATTGAATTGAACAAATAAATGTTTTCACTACTAAAATCATTTAAATTTTTAGTTGGTACTAATTTTAAATTTAGATGGAAACAAAATAAAAGTGAGACAAATCAAACTGTGAATATGATAGGGCAGCCGGGGAACCATAGCTATACTATAAAAACGCCCCTCAATTGGGTCTAAAACCAAGCAATCAGCCGAAGGAACCTCTCTCCCTCTTTCGGCAAATTGGCCAATCCCTCTCTCACTATTACTTCAAAAATATTCTCAAAAAACTCGCCAACATTTTCTCTTCCGTTGTGTTATTCTTCGAGGAGAGGGAACAAACAATAAGGGAGAATCTTTCCTACACTCCTCGCATTGCGTCTTGTTGTGAAATCTCTGTTTACAACTCATTCATTTCCTGTTTTCATTGAGCTTTTCCTGGGTTTTCAATGGCGGGTTTCGTTCTATCTGGTTTAAAGCCTCTCCCTTTTATCCACTATAGACCCGTTGTTTCGAGGAACTCTTCAAAACCCAGTTTTTTAGTTAAAAACAAGAATTACCCGGATCTAGAAAGGAAGAATCGAATCAAATTCTCGTCTGGGATGTCTAGGAACTGGGCTCTGAACGTGAGCGCTCCTCTGAGAGTTGCATCTGTAGAAGAAGATGAAGCAGGAAAAGAGAGAAATCATGGTGTTAGTCGATTTGGAGAAGAAAAAGAAGAGGCGGGGTTCGACCCCGGTGCGCCGCCGCCGTTTAACCTGGCCGATATAAGAGCTGCCATCCCGAAGCATTGTTGGGTGAAGGATCCATTGAAATCTATGAGCTACGTCGTGAGGGACGTTGCCGTGGTGTTTGGCCTGGCGGCTGCTGCGGTTTTTGTTAATAATTGGCTTGTTTGGCCCCTTTACTGGGCTGCTCAAGGGACCATGTTTGGGCTCTTTTTGTTCTTGGCCATGACTGGTGAATTTCACAAATGCATTCACAAAAATTTTAACCTTATGTTATTAGATCTTTTTTTAATGTTCTCTGAATTTTGTTGCTTAATAACCCTTTTTCATTTTCATTGTTTCAGCGGCCATGGGAGCTTTTCAAACAATCCCAAGTTGAACAGTGTGGTGGGGCATATCTTGCATTCTTCAATCCTCGTGCCTTATCATGGATGGTACGCCTAGTGTTTGATAATTTGTCTCTTCTCAATTTGTGTATGTAATTAGTTCTAATTAAACTCATTTCGATTATGATTAACTTTTTACAGGAGAATTAGCCATAGGACTCACCATCAAAACCATGGTCATGTCGAGAATGATGAATCATGGCACCCGGTTTGGTTTATTCTCTGTTTTTATTGTTCTGATTGAGAACGATTCAATCATGGAACATAGTCTAAACTGTGAACACTTCTGTTGATTCAATTGCAGTTATCTGAGAAGATATACAGGAGTTTGGATAATGTAACACGAACGTTGCGGTTCGTGTTACCGTTTCCCATGCTTGCTTACCCTTTCTACCTTGTAAGTTTTGTTGTAAAGCTTTGATTGAATGAATTTGATGATGATGATCATATTCACATATGTTGAGATATTAATGGGTGTTCGACTTCTATCGATCGCAGTGGAACAGAAGTCCGGGGAAGACTGGTTCACACTTTGATCCCAACAGTGATTTGTTTATCCCGAGCGAACGAAAAGATGTGATTACTTCCACCATTTGCTGGACAGCCATGGCTGCTATCCTTGTTGGCTTGGGTTTCACGATGGGTCCTATGCAGTTGCTTAAACTATATGGAATCCCATACGTGGTAGGTTTCATCTTCCTAAATGAAAAAAAATCGTACTTATCCCTTTTTCGATAAAGAAAACTGAAATAGACTCGTATATCGCTTACTTTCGATGTTAGATTTTCGTAATGTGGCTGGACTTAGTTACATACTTGCACCACCATGGACATGAAGAGAAGCTCCCTTGGTACCGCCGGAAGGTATGAAACTCGGTCTATTTTGACCTTGGAGATTCATAGGGAATTCAATCTACGACTTACGAATAAACTAATATTTGGACAGGAATGGAGTTACTTGAGGGGAGGTCTTACGACGCTCGACCGTGATTACGGATGGATCAATAACATCCACCATGATATCGGAACTCATGTCATACACCATCTGTTCCCTCAGATCCCACACTACCATTTAATAGAGGCGGTTAGTACGTCGTACCTATATGGTATATCTCTCTACATCGATATGCATCTAATTGTTATGTTGTTATAATGTTGTCATAGACGGAGGCAGTAAAGCCGGTTCTCGGAAAATACTATCGGGAGCCGGAACGATCAGGTCCTTTACCTTTCCACCTGGTTGGAAACTTGATAACAAGCTTGAAGAAGGATCACTTTGTTAGTGACAATGGAGATGTTGTTTACTACCAAACTGACCCAGAACTACATTGAGCTCTCATTGCCATGAATATGTAAACATCATATTCAAGTCGAAAAGTAGGAGGGCAATTTGGGGGCTTTCATTTTTTAACCTTATTTTCTATGGAGGGGATTAGGGTATTATCGGCATTCTACTAGTAAAGGAGAATGTATATTTTTATTCTTTTGAAAGGAAATGAAAATTTATTGCTTTCTTTTCCTAAAATGGAAGAAATGCGTTTATTGACTTTTTTGCCCCCAAACCCATAATTATGGTAAACAAGAACCCACTAATCACGGGTAGTTCTACCGTACGATAGCTTAATATACGGTTAAAGAAAGATGTTATCAGAAAAGTTAATATTTTTTTAACATTTTCAATAAAGCGTTACTTAAAACATTATTTTTCTATTGGAAATAATAATTTTGCTATCTAATTTCCGTTAGAAAAATCGGATGAAAAAATAACATTTTAGGTAGCGTCTGATATTAACATTTCCGGTAAGAAAAATAATATTTTAGGTAGTATTTTAGCAAAAATATTAAAAAATATTAATATTTTCAGTAATATCTTTCTTTAACCGTATATTAAGACATCCCCACATATTAACTAAGCTCTCTTGGAATGGTCAAATTCTGTCTAAGGTCATTTTTCACCTCGTGTGTTTGAAGGGTTTACTTTTCTGCTATAATTTTGCTTATTTTTCTATATTTAAAATGCGTATTTTAAATATTGAAATCATTTTTAAATTAATGTGGTTTATTTTTTAAAATATATTTTTATAATATATGGTAACTTATATACATATATATATAGTAGTAAAGAATAATTCTTTTTTAAATTTTAAAAGTATTTCTTATCATTTTAAATTATTTGTGGAACTATTTGTTCTTTCATTAAAGGTGTACTTGTAACCCCATACCGATGTGGGTAATCCGATCCGATTCGGGAAGTCACATTAGGGCCACCGGAGCGACCCACTGTAAAAATAGCGAAAAATTAAAAACTTTTTATCAAAGCACATAAATTCATAAAATCCTTAATCGGTATGAAAAATTAAAACAGATTTTCAGACTCACATATAAAACAAAATACAGTTACATGCCCCCTAATCACAAGTACCATACTCTGCAACCACACCGGAAGAACTCTCTTACTGAAGTCGATAGATGCACTGATACAATTCTTTTAACCTGAAAATGTGAGTAATAGAGTGAGCTTCGAAAAGCTCAGTAATACAGAACTACCAGATGATGCTGATGAACGTGCAGATGCAGATAAATATATATTTCCTTATTGTTTCCGAATATTTACAGATTTTTATACTGAGCAGAGATCCTACTGATATTGCATGTGCTAACGGACAATGAGCTTTCAGTTCAGATAAATATTTCGAATGACTGAGTTCAGAATAGGTTTTCTAGTGTGTTCCCGTAAAACCAGTATAGTTTTTTTTTAAACATATATATATACACCCATCCTTTCACAATCTGTTTGTGTAGGTTCCCCGGAACTATACACCCCGCACAACCAGTAAGGCCCTGAGCACACAGCCGAGAAGCCTGCAGATAATCTTCCTCTAACAATAAACCCCCCAGATAAAACATTTCTCCGTCAATAAACGGAGATATCAGAAATCAAAACATAATTCAGATCAGATATCATAACAGAATCCAGATCAGAAATCAGAACAGAATTCAGGTAATGTGTCAGAACAGAATTCAAGTCGGAAATCAGATAAAATATTTATATGATTAGGGAACACACCAGAGTTTACAGATATTATTCAGAGGTATTGGATAATCTTAACAGGTAGAGAAAACATGAATCTTCAGTATACCGATAGGATATCGGAATTTAGAATCACTATTGAAAGAGTTCATTAACTGACAGAATCATCAGTTATTCAGAATGTGAATTATCAGGATCATATCTTATTCGGACAGTTTTCAGAAGTTGTACGTAATCAGAAGGGTATTCAGAATCCTTTGCATCCATGTCAATTGATCGGATAATCGAACAACTTGAGAACTAAGATTCAGAACCTTAACAATCTATGTCGACTGGTCAATTCATTTTCCTTCCAGGGTATTTACTCTTTAATACCACAAATTCTTGTTCATATATCATTTTCGAAATTAACGTTGAATAAATCTTCCAATGTCTTTATTTCATGTTCACGCTTTCACCATATCATGAAATACTGACGTACTTGATTTTGTAATTCATAATCTATAAGAACATTACATCATATATGTTCCTTAACATTTCCAGATTCATCCAACTCACTTATTCAATCCTCAGTCCTTTTGGTTACTTAATTTATTTAGCATTCAAGTCCATTCCAGATACTTCGGGATTTTTCAGAGTAATTCAAGCGTTCCTGATTTTCAGACACATGCTGCACTTCCGTTCCATTCAATTTGGTCTTCATGGTTGATTTGTCGAACAAACGTCCAATTCTTAGTACTGAATGCGATCCATAGTTGAACTAAGTTGAATACTTCCAAAATTTATCATCGAGACAAACTTAAGAAGACGAACACGCATTCCAGTAATATCTATGCCATTCAGGTATTGACATAGCTTTAGGGTTGATCTACTCACTTAAATTGTGTTCCATTACTTTTAAAGGTAGGCCAATACCTATGCTTATTTGGATTCCTTAATTAATCCAAGGCATTTACTTGGTATAGGTCATGAGGGTATTTTGGAAATTTTGGTGTTCAGTTTTATTCCATTCATTTCAGAGCTCGAGGATATCCAATCATTCCTGAGCTTGGTGATATTCTTGGGTCATTTCCATTACAGGGGTATTTTGGTCATTTTACAGATCTACGGTATTTCAATCTTTTCCTGCCATCTGATCTTATTATTTAATTCAATCTTATCATTTACTTCAGTCTTTTCGAACAATTCTGATAGCAGAATACCCCCGATAAATTACTCTTCAAGTATTTACTCATTATTCGAATATTTTCGGGTCAAGTGTCTTCTCAGATGTTACAAACGAAATATCATGAATTTTTCTGTACAAAGACAGGATCTTAACAATTAAATTCGTACTTAATCGAGTTAAGTACAAATCCTCAAAGTACTTTCTCATTCAGGGTCAATTCAGACTATTTTATCTATCAAGGGAATTTTCGTAATTTCTTAACCAGATAATTTCGATATTAGCTCTTAACGAAAATAATATAATATAGAGATCCTATGATTAATTGCTTCCTCGAACATTCTTTGATCTTGAAATGATTACTTAAAAGACTTCTAGTATCTAGCATAAACCTTCTTGGGTTAAAAACCGGTTATCCATAATTTCCAAGTAAAACTAACATTTCTTATGCAGATCAATAGTTTTAGCAGATCAATAATTCTTTTCAGATTTATTAATCCACTTCCAGAGATAATTCTTGTCATTTTCCAACATAAGGGTAATTTCGTAATTTTACCTAATCGAAATATTCTCATAATTAATCCTCTAAGTACCTTTAATGAGATAAATTATAATCTACAATCCATGGTTGATTCTTTTATCACTTAATTCCAGAAGTTGTAATTTAATTCCAACTGTCCTCCAATTTCTTATAATAGTCATCTAAGCCATATTCAGTTATCTATTTTCTACCGTATTCGTATCTAGTGTAGATCTTCATTAATTACACATATGAGACCAAACATTTTCATTCATGCATTTACCAATACCAACATATTCTATAAAGCATAAAGAGGTACTAAAGTATTACCTCGATTTCCGTGTAATACTGATCGACCATAAAAATTCCATTCGAACGCCTTTGATCTTCAATTCAACTTCCAATAATTCCTCAGATACATATCAACATAAATTATATCATAAACGGAGCTTAATTGAGATAAACAGATCGAATCGGATGATAAATTAGTTAAAACCAACTTACCGGTTTCGAATTTGGCGAAACGGACTTCGGATTCGGATTCAGGACGTCGAAAGCATAAAATATGACTTTTCGAAAATTTGGAATTTTCGGTCAAAATCAAAGTCAACGGGTTTGACCGGCAATTACGGGGCCTTCGGGTTCGAATTTCGAAAAACGGACGGCGAAATCGGATTTGGAACGTCGAAAAATGTCATGATAGATATAATCGGTCAAAGTCAAAGGTCGTTTAATTCCCGGTCAAAGCCAGTCAAAGTTTTGGTCAACAGTGGTCAGTGTCGGGTCAACGGGTCGGGTCGGGTTATGACCGGTCAAACCGGTCAACTATGCGCCAAAACCGGTCAAACCGGTCACTTTTGTTTTCCCCACGTGCAGTGGCGCCGCGTGAACAGTACCCTGATATCGGAAAATTCCCGGAAAAATTCCTAAAAATTATTTTAAGCGATTTCGAGATACTTATAAAGCTCGGTTCAAAATTTTGAACGGCGGAGAGCTCGATTTCAACGAATCAGAAACTTTGACCGCTTCACCTCCTCACGCGCCGCCGTCGACGGAGACCAAGGATGACACCGGCGAACTCGGAACGATGCAACGAACACGATGGTGCGGGAGGTGTCGTAAACGGATGACCCGATCGTCGTGAATCAATGAAAAACCAACTAAAATCGAGTTATTACCGACGATACTTCCGACTGAAATTAACGACGAACGGCGATGATTCACGACGAAAGGTTTGAGGGGTTTTGTTTCTCGGTTGACAACGAACACGATGGTGATTTCGGCTCGTCGATCGGAGGTCGGACGGCGAGTAGATCAGAGTTCAAAGTGGGGTTGATGAAGAGGAAAATCTGGAATTTTTTTTCCAGAAAACATACGAAATGGGGTATATATCATCTCATAAATAAAAATGGTTAAACCAATAGTTTAGTCACTGAACTTCCTGTACTTCATAAAACGATCTGTCAACTTTAAAATTTTACAATTTAACCCACTGTTTCTTTCAAAATACCAATTAAATCCACCACTTTATAATCTCTTAATTTTAACCCCTAAATTAGGGTGTTACAGTACTAAATAATTATCATATATATATATATATATATATATATATATATATATATATATATCCAATTACGCATAACCAAACCGATTATCACATAGAACATCAATCTCATATATATAATATTTTTTAGTTTATAAATAAATAGATTATATATATACATATTAAATTGTAATTAATAGAACGTCTAAAATAAAAGATTTTAAATTTAAGAACATAATTCAAAAATAAGATAA